TATTTTTTTTTATTGATTCCTGGCCACCAAACTGTTTCCTTTGCTAAGCCACGGCATTTTGAAATACCCATGTGTTTATTGTGGAGTTTGTCTAAAACCAATTCTCGCAGGCTGTGAGGAATAACAATCCGACTGCCCCCGAGCAATATCAATCCCTCATGATCAGCCAGGCTATCTTTGTATTGCGCATAAGCAACCTGGTCCCAACCGGAATGTATGTATTTCCTTAAGAGTTGGAATGTTTAATCTTAATTGTCTAATAAGTTCTTTTGAGCTCATATAATGTATCTCGCACAGGAAGATTTACCAATTGTTCTGTGACATATTCTTGAAGTTCGTGAGAAGTAAACTCGTTGATTTCTCGAATATTAAGATTCGTTTGTCGGGACAATGTATCTAGAACAGTCAACAGTTTGCCTGGTAGCCTACGTAATTAATCTCATAATCAAACATCTGCAACCGAAGACATAAACGTAAAAGTCTAGTGGAAAGCTCTTGAATAGGTTTATTCCCCAGTAATGTTGTCAAAGGTTTGTGGTGTGTCTGAAGAAGAAAACATTTCCCAACCAAATATATTTTCAGTCTTTCACACACCCACGTACAGGCTAAAAATTCTCGTTCAATTTGAGCATACCTTTTCTCTGTTTCTGTCATCGCTCTTGAAACATACATTACAGGAAAGAACTTTCCATCATGTTCCTGCTCAAGTAAACCACCCAGGGCAAATGAGCTATCATCAGCAGTAACTCTAGTTGAAGCATTGACATTGAATGGTTTTAAAACCGGAGAGCTGGCTTAGGCCTAGTCTTCTGCAACACTTGCTTCTGAGCAGGTGACCAAGTGAAGTCGACGTCTCTTTCCAAGTAACTCTTATGGTTGAGCAATCAAAGCCGCATTGGGAACAAATTTTTTGAGATAAGTTACCATTCTAAGGTAGGCCTACCTCTGTACATCAGTCTTGTGGTGGTTGAAAACCCACAACTCTCAATAATATAAAACAATGACAAACAACATGTTTAACCAAGAGGCTACACTAAATAAACAGGTCGTAATGCTCCTCAAGCATGACGTCATCATAGGCGAGGGCTGACTATGCTGATGTCTTCAAGACCGAAGAAGATATTCATGATTTTGCAGCAATCATGGAACAAGATGACTTTGTCCATGTTGCTGCCGGTTTTACCCATTAAAAGGTTAATAGGCGGTGTCCATACTTTTGCCCAATCCTGTATTATCTGTCCAGTTCACTGTTATTTGGTCTACATCTGCATTAAATAAATTAGGCCTAGGTTTATTTACGGGCAGAAATCCCCCCTCCCCTGAACCTGATGCATGGCCGGGGGTACAATTAATTAAATTATTCTGGCAACCGCATTTTGTAGAATCATGGTTTGTTAAAACAAAACTCGCTTAAAACCATTTAAACAACCTTAATCTTCTCTATTAATCCCCTAACTTAAATCCTCGAAAATAAAGTCAGCTTGAAACATTATTTCGTAGTCAAGGTTATTCCATGTAACCTTATGCAAACAACAACAAAACAACAGTTGTAATAATATTCAGAGGATTCGACAGACCATTGATCTACTTTCTCTTGCCGGTTTATGTTGCAAGCTGAATACAGGAAATGAATTGGGCCCGTTTGTTACTAAACCATGGTTACATTAATAATTACCATGTTATTTAAACTTGAACTAACCATCCGCCGATGTTTTGGTCACAGGTACCTACCTTTTTCTTATCCTGAATTAAAAAGTTTATTATTATTAATATTACTATTTGAGATGGGTATTTGGCATTTTATATGAAACAATTAGGCTGTAGTAAAACTGAGAGTAATCTGTTGTTAAGTAATCAGAGTTATTAATAATTACTACTGTTATTTCCTGTACAAAACAAACATTAAAAGGACCTAGGCCTATAAAAGATTTTTGACATTAAACCTTTAAGTAAAACCTGTGTTTTTTCAACACTATACAACTTGGGATCTATCAAAAAAATTTAATTGATTCATTGCATTTGAGCAAGGCCCCACTAGAAAAAACAGGCCATGCTGCAGCGCGAGTAGCACAACGCTACGTCACAGTGGTGGATAGTTGTACTAAACTCTTACCATTAAAATCTTACAAACAGCCAGCTTGTTTATTTACCTAAAACATATGGGAATGGTGATGGCAATGAATTTATCAATGAAATCTATCCACTAGTGTGACGTCATGGATCCTGCAGCATGGCCTGTTTTTTCTAGTGGGGCCTTGATTTGAGGCAAAAGAAAAGTTAGTTTCATGATTTAAGCTTGCTCAATTTACCTTCTAGTAAAGTGGATGGTTGTAACAAGAGATTAACAAAACTATGTTGTACACATCCTTGGTCTTTAAGAACACTGTCCAAATATAGTTAAGATCTGACAATTAATTGTTAAAAGTGTACAGTACACACCCACAAAACATACAATTACATATGCTGAGTTGAAATAGCTATTTTGACTTGGTTGTCACACTTTGATTTATAAATCAGGTTGTTGTGAAATGTCAAGGAACATTTTTTACATTTATTTTTCATTGGTTTTGATTGTCTCCTATGATTCCGGCAACACCCGTAAACATATCTTTTGAACTCGGCGTCACTGCTGAGAGTTTCGCGATTGCGGGATGTCTGGTAATCGACCTTTTGGTAACCAAAGGAATTACTGGGCTTTGGATAATCAATGCCCTACAGTAAATGCTATTTTTATATTTTGGTGTAGAGTACCAACATCAATACTACAACCAATTACAGTAGTATGTGCTAAATTAACATGGTTTTTTTGGCTTTTGAGGGACTAAATGGGAAAAGTATTATTACTTCAACCAAGATCTTACCACAATGACTTCATTTATATCTACTTCCTTAAGGAGCAGTTTATTTTAGCAAATTTTTTTGCGAATGGAAAATTGGAAAAAATTGGAAAATGGTGATAGCTTATAAGCTATCACCGTCAGAGGTCTCATGGTAAGACCTAGACTCGGGACTGATTTTCTGAGGACAAATCACCATCTGTTCAAATTCATATATACAGGGTGTCTCACGAGAGGTGTCTCAAATTGATTACGGGAAAACGGCTTAACGTACAAGGATGAAATAAAATTATTTCCCGCTAAATCGACCCCAAGGAATAACCTAAAAATATTTTTAACTTTTTCCCAATACAGGGTGTGCCAAAAACTGAGGGTCACTAGTTCGAATCTCGGAATTTCCAAATGTAAACATATGTCATGTTATACATCATTTTAAAGGTATTTGATTGACAAACATTTTGGCGAAAACAGAAATAAGTTATCTTTTCCCGTTTCAAAATGGCGGCAGTTTTTTTTTGGAAAAAATCTATATTTTGTTAATACTCTGTGTTTCCTATACCAATGCATTTATCCCTTCTCCGGTTGAATTTTCTTACTCGTTATGAAATTAGCTTTACTTTGATATGCTACAAGTAACGGTTTTTTGAAATTATAAAAATTCCAAAAAAATTTATTTTTGAAAATTTGCAAATGCTCATTTTTCAAAAATTTCAAATAGCAACATATGTCAAGTGGCACATCATTTTATAGGTTTTTTAATTCCTAACAACTTTGTAATTTACACTTACTTCGTATCTCTTTTAGTTTTTGCGTAAATAACAAAAAACCTAATTTTCCTATATCAAATGCATGTAATTTGGGTTTGACGTGGTTTAACACTTTATCAAATTGGGCCTTTAGTGTTATTTCTGTTTTCGCCAAAATGTTTGCCTATCAAATACCTTTAAAATGATGTATAACATGACATATTTTTACATTTGGAAATTCCGAGATTCGAACTAGTGACCCTCAGTTTTTGGCACACCCTGCATTGGGAAAAAGTTAAAAATATTTTTACGTTATTCCTTGGGGTCGATTTAGCGGGAAATAATTTTATTTCATCCTTGTACGTTAAGCCGTTTTTCCGTAATCAATTTGAGACACCTCTCGTGAGACACCCTATATATATATATATATATATGTGTGTGTGTGTGTGTGTGTGTGTGTGTGTGTCTGTTGGCACGATAACTCGAGTGAAAATCCTCAACTTTTGATAAAAATACATTACAAACACCTGTAAAACTACCTACATTCATTTAAACAAGTTCGCACACCAGCATTATCAGACAATAGGAACACTTTTTATGAGGTACTATTTGACTCCCAAAACTTTTAAATAAAGAAAGAAAATATGTATAATAGATACCTAATTGAAACCTAATACAACCATCTACCATTTAAACATAAGATAAAACAATCAATTTATACAGTGAGCAAGTTAGTTTCTAAAATCAAAATCTTTCAAAATATTTTGTAGAGATTAAAAAACAAATAAGTTAGAATGTTGAAATGTTTTTGTGAGCCTGTAGTTACGGGGGAGAAATTAAAAAAACTGTAAATTTCAAATTTCTTATGTTGTTCTTATGGATAAAAAATAAACTGTCGTAGTGTTCTTGGATATATTTTGATAAATTTTGGCCAATTTATTTATTTCATACCAAGCAATTGACATTTCAATAAAAAATGAACATACATTCCCTATATCAGCAAACTTAAGTACTAGTTGTTACAATTAATGTTATTTTTAAATAGAGAACATTCATCTGTTAATCATAAAGATATTTTAGTGAAAATAAAATCAGTCAAATGTGCTTAGTCTGCAGGCTTTCTACGGCGGGGGTATTTTAAAATAGTAATAATTTTATTTTATAAACAACATTTGTGAATCAAATACATAATAGGTCTACTATGATTTTTTCTCTATTAAGAATAAAGGGCAAATATTTTGCTAGAGTATTTAATAATTATGGCCTAATAGCTATGAACAACTTTTTATGAATAATATTACTTTCAAAAATAAAGAAAAACAATAAGTGCATTGAATTGGACAAGTATAGTTTTTGGCAAAGAGTTGATGCTAGAAATATCGCAAGCACTGAGGAACCAATGTAGCTCAAACTGTAGTGCCTCGCTGAGATGTTTGCGTCCGTGTAGTCCCGACTGTCTTGTGTCTAGTCTAACTTTATAACATGGACTCCCGGCGGCGCCCCCCAGGTAACTTACAAATTTGTGTAAAACTTGTGTATAGGTACAGACTTATTTAACTCGCCTTTTAAATTAATCATTATCTTAAAATTCTGCAGTTCAATCTTTTATATAGAATTAGTTATTTATGGAACTGTACGTTCACCACCCATCATTTAACATTTAATGTGAATTAATTTATTACACTCCAAAATTTACGTTCTATCCACTCATCCAGTAGTAATAAGTTTATTTTTATTTCTAACCAAATAACAATCATCGTTATTTTGTGAAAACATTGTAAATTGGTGGTTTTGACTTAATGTGGTAATATGTTTTTGTTGTCCTTCTTTTCTCCTTGATTTATATAACACCAAATAACAATTTTTAAATTGATATACGAGTCTATAGAAAGTCTTTAAACTGTTATTCCTAAAATTAATTATTATGACCCATTATTGAACTTGTGTTTAAAAAGAATTAAAAAATCAAATTGAGGTTTACTGTGGACGAAATGAGAGCATTCTATTATAAAATTAAACTGTCATAACGTAACCTAACTAACAGAACTTGCTGATAATATAAAAAATACATAAGATAAAAATCAAATGAAGGTTTACTAATCTAAAATATAGGTCTGTTCATAAAATAAAATTATAAAGGCGTCAAATTCCAACAATATCTACAGTAATCGCATTCTAAGCAAAATCTTTGACAAAAAGTTAGTGCCACTGGTATGATTCGAACCAGGTACCTCTTGGTTATCAGACCAATACTCTAACCACTACATCACGAGCACCGATGGCAGCACCACGTATTGTTGTGGTAATGGTGTGGTGTTCATTATGCCTACATTATAACATTCATTCAACCATCAATCGATTGAATCAAATCCATTTGGTCCTAAATAATATCGATAATTAGTATTTCGATATTGAACCGATAGTACACGGTTTTGTACAAAAAAATGCTCACCAAATTGTATACCTGAAAACTATAATCTGTGTTTATCACCTCAGTAGTACTCCAGCCAATTATGTTGTTCATGCATTAATAAAAAATATAATATAAAGAATAAAAAATATTCCAATCAACAAAACAAATAGGCTATTGATATTTTTTTATTTGGAATCATTTCAGCTCCTTGCTAGTTTCTAAAAACCCAATGACTTTGTAAACGTATTAATACTATAGGACATATTATTTATCAATATAAAAATTAAATAAAAATATATTTAATTCTTACTGTCTTCACAATTAGAGGTGATATTGCACTATGTGCACATTGTAGATAGCTTTTTGTTGGGTGTGTAGTAGTACACTAACATAAAATCTTGTTCTTACACTTAACAGGAAATGCCTTCATTTGCATTGTGTCAGAGGTTAAATAAAAATTTGACATATAAGAACAAGATGGTCAATCATAATAACCAAAAACATTTAGAGCACCTGCACGACTAATATTGTTACATTGTTTGTATATTAACATCAGGTCTGATTAATATGAACGCAAAGCCTTTCAATTTATTTTTTGTTTGTTTTAGAGAGACCACGAAGAAAACCTCGCGATAAATCCCCTGCTGTTGGTTTATTATCAGAGGGGTACAGTGTAGATGTAGATTCAGAAGAAGTACCACCAAGATTGATTGACAGCCAGATTGATAAAGTTCTAGAGAGACCAGTCAGAAGAAGGACGGTAAACAAACGAGCTGCTGAAATTACCGAAGTTAAGACTGTACCTAAACAGACACCAAACACTACTGAAGATTCAAACGAAAGTGAAGGAGACACAGTCAAGGCTACATTTCAAGTTCTTGTGAAAGACGTAGAAATTAAAAAAGTTCCACTTCGAGAATTTCAACGACTAGCGCCACGAGAGAAAGAGGGAGAGCTTCAGAAAACTCTACCCGACAAAAACTTAGAAGTTGGGAGTTTCTTTCGACTCCACCATACTGTAAGAGAGGAAAATCAGTTACCCAAAGAAGGCGAGCTGGCACGGTTGGGGAAAAAGGATTTTGAAAAAAGACCGAGTGAGAAAAGGAAAGAGGAGGAAAAAGAGTCTGGTAGAGAAGAAATATCAGACAACATTGAAAGAACAATGTCCGAAGAACATGTAATAGCAGAGCCAGTACAGGTGGTGATTGCCAAGCCAAAACATCAATTTGAGCTTGATGAGGAAGCCTTGGCCAGGGTTCTGTTACACCAAGATATCAAAGACAAGCATGTGGTTGTTGTCTCTGTTGCTGGTGCTTTTCGGAAAGGAAAATCATTTCTACTTGACTTTTTCCTGCGGTATATGAAATCAAAGGTTGGTTTTTCTTAATACAGATCAATTTACTTTTTTAGGTTTATCATTACGTTTAAAATTGCAAATGTTTTAAATTGCAGAGTTGTACCATCATAATACGCCAAAAAGTAAATAGTTGTTCATAGTTGTTTTAATGTGGTAAGAAATATTTTGTAAAAACACTCCTACATAAACAGATTTTTTTTATGAGCTCCCAAATTTACTGAAGTTTTACCCCATCAAAGCTCTAGTATCGTAGAAAAGTCCTCTTGGTTCTTACATTCCTCCTCAGGTATAAAACAAACTGTTAGTCCAGTTTTAATGAAAAGTAAAAGTCAACATAAAAGTTAAAAGTTAGAACAAGCCTAATTTAAAGAAAGGAAGGGTTTATATCGTTAAAATAGGTTTTTTTCCTTATTGTTAATTCAGGCTTAAAATACAAACAAAATAGTGCACATTACTCTACACCGTATTCTACATCATTATCTACTTGCAATATTTACAATCAGGCCATACATAGTTGGAGATGATCGAAGGGAATTGATTATTTCCCATCCAATTAGCCAAGGTTAGGTTCTATATTTTATTTTGATATTCTACAGCAACTAAGTAAGCTATAAGCAATGAGAGATTCAGTTTTAAGTACTAGCTGTTGTTTCCAATCACTTCTGTATCTTCTTATAAGATGCCAACCTAACTGTCTGTTATTTATATTTTAATCTAAATATTTAGATTAAATAGGGTTGGTACGGTCAGGGATAATCTGGAAAACCTGGAAAAGTCAGGGAATTTTGTTGGTCTGAAAAACTCAGGGAATTATGAAACAATTCTGGAATTTCTCCTAAAAGACTACCTTTTTACAAATATGCTACATTTTGCTCTACATTTTTTTGTCAGGGCGATGACTAATAGCAAAAAGAAGGACATAAGCACTGATGCACATTTTTATATAGATAGTTATCGGTACAGAAGGAGAATCGATATGTATATACCGGTAGTTTGAAACAAGTTTTGTTTGGGAGTGATTAAAAATAAGTTATATATTTACATTTGTTCTAATATTATATTGATTTTGATAAGTCAATCTTGACTTACGGTATTCCTAGAAAAAGTATAATATCAGTCTGGAAAATCAGGGAATTTTATTTTCCAAATCTAGTACCAACCCTTTTAAACTATTAAAGCTTACATTTAAATTTAATATGAACCTGTTTAACCCTTTGCGGTCGAATGGTGAGTATAGGTCGCCGCCCACCATGTTCCCGACTGCTCTAAAATGAGAACCTATACTAAGACAAAAAAAATCAAAAAAGTATATTTTTGATGTTGAATGTCGAGTATAGGTCACCGAGTGCCATTTCCCAACTGCTCTAATAGCAAACTATACTCGGCGAAAAATAGGGAAAAAAATTCAACCTCGAAGGGTTAAACTTAAGTTCATAAAAACATTTGTTGAAATAGTGGTAGCCTATAAATTTGTTCTATTTAAAGCCAGTTTCATCATTTCTTTTTTACTTCTACCTGATTTCTAAAGAATTAAACTCATTTGATCTATTTCTCTTCTTCCCAGAATGTGTGCATTTTATGATTGATAGTGAAAATAATATTTGATGGCCCCACTTTTAGTATTCCTCGATCAGTCTTGGCAGCAAAGGGGTAGACTGGCTGGGACCAGATGATGCTCCACTGGAAGGCTTCTCTTGGAGGGGTGGTTCTGACCGGGAAACTACTGGCATTCTGGTGTGGTCCGAAGCTTTTGTCGCTCCTCTACCCTCCGGTGAAAAGGTTAGTTGTTTTAGCCTATCTATATAATCTGTAATCTTATAATAACTGATTGATGGCAATTCTACAACTATTGAACATTTAACTGAATTACTAACATAAATATTGATTTATTCATTCATTGCCTCCAGGATTGATTTTTGATAATATAAATTGGCTTACATACGTCATCAATCCTAATTTAGGCGACTAGTTTCAAAACAACAGTTTCATTGTCAAGCCCCTTGTTTCATAACATCATTGGAATATCTTGTCGTCATCAATACAAAAAAGTACAACATTTACATACACAAACACAGATATCATTTAAATGATGTATTTTTGTGTATGTATGACGACAAGATGTTCCAATGATGTTATGAAACAAGAGGCTTGACAATGAAACTGCTGTTTCGAAACTAGTCGCCCAAGACTACATTAAGATTGATGACGTGAGGTATCTAAACCTCTTTATATTGTTAATTATTTATGATGCGGAAAGTTTCTCTTTCGAATATACTATATTCAAATCTGATAATGAGATGGAATAGTGATGGATTTGTAACCTGTGCAGGTGGCAGTTCTGCTGATGGATACCCAAGGAGCGTTTGATCAGGAGAGCACTGTCAAGGACTGTGCCACTGTGTTTGCTCTAAGCACTATGGTCAGCTCTCTGCAGATATATAATCTATCACAGAACATACAGGAAGATGACCTAATGAACCTTCAGGTATTGTCCAAGAGTGTTGCAAGTAGATCAAAAGTAAATCCTTATGCTGTTTCAACGAGTTAAAGTAATAGAAGTTATTCAATGATTTGTGTGTTGCTTAGTGGTTAGCGTCTTGGACTTTGGTGCGGGTGAAACGGGTTCAATTCCTGTAATATAATTTTTCCTTTAAACCTTTTAAATTGACATCATTATTTTATTTATGCCACTGGCGTAGACACATGCAAAAAAGTAATTGAATTGTTTTACATTCAGCCCATATGTATCAGTCCAAATCCTTGTTAAGTTTTGTAAACAAACATTTATTTACAAAGATGTTGGTCGATATGTATATGGCTGTAAAAAAACGGTACTTTCCTGTTAAAGGGAACATTCATTATCGTCGATGATTTTTTTCTCAATATATCGATATTAACAAATTGAAACATATCAGCTGACAACTACGATAGCCTATATAAATATTAAACAGAATCAACAAACAATAATTTTAAAAAAATATTGAAATGAAACTGTTCTAAACTAACCTAACAAAACTAACCAAACTTGCTGTAACATTTAAAAACTCTGTTTAATATTTTCCATTTGCCTTTTCTGCTATCAAACGGAATTTTTAAATGGTACAGCAAGTTTGGTTGGTTATGTTAGGTTAGCTTAGAAGAATTTAATTTCTTAATCCATATAATAGACTATATTTTAGCATTAAGATCAGCTGTCAATTTGTAATGTATCGTAGGAAAACAAAAATATTGATATATCGAGAAAAAAATCATCGATAATAATGAATGTTCCCTTTAACAGGAAAGTACCAAAAAAACTTTTAGTCAACATTGGACGTCTATTGATGTACTAGTAAATATTTTTAAAACCTATAAAATACATTATTATCATAAACAGTCATAGTATTGGCAATTTGATTATCATTTTAAGGGATAGAGTTTAGCGTGTTTCGGGTAATTGCTTGTAGTATTAATATTTTTACTTCTACTACATGAGGGAAGACAAAGTAAGGGTGATTTCAATTCTTTCTTATCAATTATGTTTTAGTTGTTCACGGAGTATGGTAAACTCGCTCTGGAGGACTCTGGAAACAAACCGTTTCAAAAACTGATGTTTCTAGTCAGAGACTGGAGCTACCCGTATGAGGCCAAGTACGGTTTGCAGGGGGGAGCCCAGCTATTGGCAAAGAGACTACAGGTAACTAAAAAGTAGTTTCTCCAAAGAGTTTCTGGACTGTGGGTTCAGAAACACCCATCAGTTAATGGAAGAAAAAATGTTTTTTAGTTGTTTGTACCAACAGTGAAGATTGAATATTAGCAGTTCAATTTGCAATTTATTGTAAACAGTTAAATTAGCTTTGATTAACACTAGGCTATAACTGAATTCTGTGATACATTTCAGAAGTCAACCAAACCCAGAGTTTACACTAAAGAAGCAATAAAAATTATCACCCTTATAAATGCTGCAATCAGTTTTTTAAAGATCCTCAAAGCATTAAATAGACCCTTGTTGTGAATAAGATGGATAGGTTTTGGGACCGGATTATCAGTTGATGATTTATTCAAGTGAAACTTAAAACAATAATAACAGTGATTTCTGCAAAAGCGCTATTTTGAATGCACTAAAAAAATATTGTTTTGAAATAAAGAATACGGTACTAGAAAAAGATGCAGGTTAAGAAGGGGTTTAATAATGTGAAAATTTGGTTATTTATTAGTGATAATTTTTCTCTGCAATTGCAGAACAGCACCGTATTGGTTTTAAGCTTGACAAATTCGTAATGCTAACGCAAAACAAGAAAAAGCATAACCAATGAAACTCATGAATGTCGAACGACTATAAAACATTGCATAAGATGCAAATGAGTCAAAGTCAGCAATTTTTTGTTCCTAAATTTATACTGTCCACCGTCTTAATCCGTATTTCTAAGACTAACAAGATACCTGTTGCACACCTTTGTGCCATTTACAATAGACAAAACACACATGGAAAAATATACACAAAAGCCTCTCATAGACATAGTTTCTTAATACAGGGTGAGGCAGTGAAACGGGACGATTCCAAAATCAGATGACAAGGAATTGGGGGCTATTAGAGTACGGTGGAGATTACTATAGGTGTCGAGACAAGTGGAAATTTCTCTAGCCTTGGAACGTTGGACGAGTGCACAACATGCGTTTACTGTAAAGGCATATTACAAAAAACGTGGATATTATGGTTTGTGCTCAGCGCACTTTCCGTTATGAGTTCAGTCTTATCGCCTCAGGCTCCCGTGCCATCATGGAAAGCTACCCTGCTTTGGATGAATAACTTCGAAGCCACTGCTAGTATGACAAAGCACTATAAAACGATTGCAGACGTTATGCAAATGCTAAAATACCCCCGCCGCAGCAAACCTGCAGACTTAGCGAATTTCCATCTGCCTGATTGGATTTAAACTAAAATGTCTCCTTAAAAATATCACATTTTTTCCCTATTTAAACAGAATTAGTTTAAGTACTTAGGTTTGCTGCAACAGGGAGGGTAAAAAAGTTTTTTTTATGTAAAATATTAAAAGGTACTGTGGTTTAGTAAAAAATTAATGTATTTTCCAAATTTGATCAAAATATGTTCATAAACAAGCAAACTACAACAGTTGACTTATTCTCCATAAGAATAACATGAGAATTTTAAAATTACAATTTTTTTGAATTTTCTCCGTAACAATTAGGCGCATAATAACGTTTCAATATACTAAATTATTTGTTTTTTTAAGCTCTACAAAATGGTTTAAAAAGAAATTGTGAAATTTTGTGTTTTTAGGGTCAAAAATGGGAAAAACCTAATTTTACCCCATAAAACCCCCCATAAACCCCCGTTCCCATAGTCCGATCATGCTGGTTCGCGAACTCATTCAAGTTTATCCCGCCTTACACCTTCAAACCAAATTTTATCAAAATCGGACAAAAATTACTCAAGTTATCGTGCGGATGGACACATATATATATATATATATATCTATATATATATATCTCTATATATAGATATATAAAAATTTGAACGAATGGTGTTTTTGGCCTCTGGGGACATCAAAATGAAAAAGTAAATCGGTCCCGGGCTTAGGTCTTACCATGAGACCTACGGTAATAGCTACTTCCCTATAGGGAAATTCGCTAAAACGTCATGGGCTGATTTAAATTAATAATTCAACAATGTGTGCAAAACCCAAGTACGCTATTTTACTGACACTGTATTAAAAAATATAATTATTTTTAAGTTGAAAGATTAATTTATACTCATGAACTTAGGATTTATGTCAAAAAAACTATCCCTTTTTTCTAAATGAATTATTTGTGATTTTTCAAAATCGTGCTGTTTTACTGCCTCACCCTGTACTTTCATGCTGCAATAATTTTTATAAAAGATAATGACAAACAGTGTAAATCCTTACCAACGTTGTTTTCAAAGAGAAGTCATAAGCAGTGTATGTGAGGCTATACACATTTTATCACTAATCTGTTGATTAAGCTACTTTACTAACTGAGTAGAAACATTCATATACAAAGTAAGTTCAATCTTATGTCTATCTGTTGTTTCAATCATGCAATATGGCTCTTTAAGGCACACTTTTTACACCACTTTTCTTGACCAACATCAGAACATTTTATATGTACTCTTATTGAAATAATTTATTTTATGGATTTACTCATACGAGTGATTTTCCTCTCAATCTGAAACAGTGACTGTGTTGAACAGATTAAAGAAGACCAAGACCCTCAGCACCAAACGATCCGAAGACATATTAAAGAATGTTTCACAGACATCAGTTGTTTCTTGTTACCACATCCTGGGTTCAAGGTAGCGACCAACCCAGAGTTTGATGGCAAGTTGAAAGGTAAGCAGGGATCCATCAACACCAATTCAGTATATAATGCAAAATCCCTAAAAATAAACATTATGGTGTATGATGTTAATAATAAACATTCTATTATAAAGTAAAAAAAGTAATAATAGTGATACAATGAATTTGGAATCGCTTTTTTTGAATGAGTCGGCTAAATTTGTGATCGTGTCATCCAGTGCTTAATAAATATCCTAGGTAGTTTTTTATCTGCCTAAGAAAATGAGTCAATGAAGTTGCCATTGTTTTCTCTATTGATGCTGATTTAACAAATGTAGTAATAGTAATAATTTAACTCTTTATTTGACATAAGGATATAATATCATTAATAAAGTACTGTAAAGAAACACCAGAGTCAAATAATCAGAAAATATTCTTACAACTTTTCAACCGATAGACACTTGTCAATCATTACTGGTGGGTTGATGAAGCTTAAGACTGTTGATTCATTCAGCTACCAGCTGGCAAAGATCACTCACTGCCTTCTAATGCATCTTCGGATGATTGAATTGCTAAACACTAAATGAACGTACAAGATAATCATTAGTTCACATCAAATGTGATCAACCATTCCCACCCAGCAAATAAAACATAAAAATAATGGCCCGAACCCCAATCTTCTTACTATTTAACACCAACATGTACTAGTATCTTGATTTGTTTATTATCTATTCTTTGATTGTTATAATTTATCTTTGCTGATTGGTATTTGTACCTGCTAAAGTCATAATTTGCATATGTTGCTCCGTTGCTGGTTATCTTTCTTGATGATCTTTCTCTGATGATACCCCAAAGTAGATGAAGTTGGACTTTGTAGGATGGATCTAAAATATATCAAAATCGTTCTGTAAGAAAATTTATGTAGAAGTTAACACCTGCAGGCTAATTAATTTGGTATTTCCAAATTGTTAAAATTTATTCAAAAATTTTGTTTTTCCTCTTTATGTTTAATATTTATTAGACGACTTATTTTAATTTTTTTTTGTATTTTTTCTAAACTTTGGTTAAATTAGTTTAATCATACTAATATATTAGAAAAGTTTTGCTTAAGAGTCGGCAGGAGTCAATAATTTTGCATTGTTGTTGACCGTCAGATGCCAAGCTAAACAGTGTCCTAGCACCTATCAGCAAAAATATGCATTCACGACGTTCACGTTAAAGCAATAATCATGCACCATAAGCTTGATTACCGAGCAGAAAACGTTATGTGATTCTTAAATATATTTTCCGTGTGAATTGGTTTTTGGATTTTTAAAACTCTTGTTTTAGAGGTTGAAAAAATCACAGTTTAAGTCCACATATTTATAGTTTGACAAAATAATAACAATTAAAAGTAAAACGTAGATAGCAAATCACAACCGTGGTTTCAATAGCTTTAAAATTAGATATTTTGCAACTTTTTATCTTAATAAACAATACTGTGATATGCTTCAACCATTAACATTACCGTTATGGGCAGGAAATCCAAGATGGCCGGCGGTCCTGCCGACTCTTAAGCTTTAGTTCTAGTCACTAAATTTAGAAACTATCGATTATTAAAATTAATTGTTATACTACAATCAGTTTATTATGAGCGAACATCTGTTGTTGTTGCTGAGACATTGTGAACATCTCCTGCGATTGCGATGAAATTGTGAACGAATTGTGCGATCATGGCAAAACCGTGAACATCTCCCAGAGTCTCGAATAAAAATAAATTTAGTTAAATTAAGCAGAAGACTTCTTAACCAAGTAAAAGAAAGAACATCTTATTCAAGGCCTAGACTATAACATAAATATGTCACAACAGCTATCGGAGCATGAGAAAATACAGAGAGAATTGAACTTGAATATCAGCACACTTCATGAGAGGATTGTTCAACATTTAAACACAATAATCCAAAATTATAGGATGCCTATCTTCAGTTTCCTAATGTCAATGTTGCTAGGTTTAAACTACAAAATACATTTTAAAATCTGAATTTGTTATGAAAAAGCTTATAATTTGTAATGTTTTTTTGTGTAAATTGATTTGAAACTCGAGTTCCTCATGAGGCTTACTCGTTAATCTAAGTCAGGCGTGACCCAACTATGAATCAAGACTAAACCAATTATGTCTTTCAATCTATGCTAATCACAATCTTAAGCATGCTGTCACAGACCCGACTTTAAATGAGATGAAGGTGTGTCAGCCATCAAAAATGTGAATTGCCACTCTGAGAACAGTAATACAGTCTATGGAAATAATTGGGACATTACAATAGCAGTTTTAGAAATATTTCAATAATAGTGTTTCTTATGTATCTTATCCTTTCTGAGTAGCATAGCCTATATGTTCGAGAAATTTATCAAAACGTGTTTTTTTTTCAGATATTGAACCAGACTTTGTAGAAAACCTGAAAACATTGATCCCTATCTTACTATCCCCTGAAAATTTGATTGTTAAAGAAATTGGAGGACAGAAAGTAAAAGCAAAGGAGTTGATGCAATACTTCAAGTCTTACATGAAAATATACAACAGCAACGAACTGCCAGAGCCAAAAACCATGCTTGTGGTAATATTTACAATTCATCTTATTTACCAGTATTCTGCAACATTACAGTTTGTACAAGATTGACACTCCATAATTCGTATGTCAAAGAGAGGTTAAATAATAAAAGAGTGATTCTTAGACCGTATGCTACAATAGTGATTTATCAAAAAAAAGGACCTGAAATCTAAAATTTTCCTATAAAAAAAATCTATTTTGAGATTTTAACTGTGATATTACGATCAAATTCTCATTTTATTAAGAGGTTTGGCGCCTTGAATGGTGTACACTTTGATTATTATATTTTAAAATACTTGCTACGTCAATCGTGCAGGGGTCAAGTTGTCCTGAAGATGGCAATCTACATTGTGGCTGAATCATCACCCAATGAAAGTGTTTCATCGATTTTGACACATTCCAAAGACCACTAAGCCACAGTAGTAAGACTTGTTGTGTAAGACTAGATTACTTACGTCAATAACTCATTGAATATCACTTCATGTTTCAGTACATGTTTTGACACATTGTCATCATCAGCTGAGTACTAGTGAAGTTTTTATTCACCATATGGTTTCGTCAATGTTCAATTAAATAAACACGTAACACAAATACGACACGACATGGAACATATACATTTACAACACGTAAAGCTTTAAGACATGCAGGCCTGCTCAAACAAAACACACGGTCACGCCGTGGGTCGGGGACAGAATAGATCTGAGAGTCTGTCCCCGACCCGCGGCGTGACCGTGTGTTTTGTTCGAGCAGGCCTGCCTGTCTTAAAGCTTTACGTGTTGTAAATGTATATGTTCCATGTTGTGTCATATTTGTGTTATATGTTACGTGTTTATTTAATTGAACATTGACGAAACCATATGGTGAATAAAAATTCACTAGTACTCAGCTGATGATGACAATGTGTCGAAACATGTACTGAAACATGAAGTGATATTCAATGAGCTATTGACGTAAGTAATCTAGTCTTACAATAATATCTACAGCTCAGGGGCTTAACAATGAATTTAAATAAAGACTTGTTGTGTTGTGTCAAGTAGGATAAAGATTATTGAGTGAAATTTTCAATATGAGGATTGTTCAACATGCCTCAATGCTTGTGGTAGGCAACTGCCGAGGCCAACAACCTGTCAGCTGTGGCTGCTGCCAAGGAGACGTACCATCAGCTGATGGAGGCTGTGTGTGGGGGAGCCAAGCCTTACCTCAGTTCAGCCCACCTGGAGACTGAGCACCTTCGTATCAAGGACAAGGCCATGGAGTTGTTCATCAAGAAACCCAAGATGGGTGGAGAAGAATTCTCTAGACTCTACAAGGAAAAGCTGGAGGAGGTAAGTGTTGATACAAGTAGACTCCAACAGAATGTGCTGATGTCAATAATTACTGATTTATGTTGGGTACGCAAACATTTTAACCAAAGTGAATGAATTACTTATCTTAAATTGAAGCGTATTTTATGTTACATCAAATATCACAGTACAAAAATCGAAAGTAGAAAATCAATTTTCGATAGCAGTTGGCTATTCTGTGAATGGCTCATTTAACTGTTATATTTAATACCAAATACAGTAGAACGCCTAATTTCCGACCTTGGAATTTCTGGTCCTTGGTTTATCCGCCCACTTCCATGAATTGATAGCAAAAATGTTCTCACAGCTGTACATGTAGTCTCCATGATTTTAGTGTTCTCACGGTTTATCTGTTTCCAGAGCAGGTTCACTACTCAGTTGAGCCAGTAGATTCCCAAAAGAGACTTAAACACTACTTTTAACCAATTACAAGTTGTTATTAGGGACAAATCCGTTTTGATAATAAGTTGGTTTATCCGGCCAAAATTTTATCGGGCCAGGGGCTTGGTCCCACATAGGCCGGATGAAGGGTTTTACTGTAATTACAATTTGGACGTCTATTGTTTGTGTATATAAAAGTCAATGCTATTACCAAATCATAGGCATACCTTATATAGGAACTCTCTGAAACGTCACCATACCTACCTAATGTAATAGAAGTTCTAGTAAAATCTTAGATAAAGAGTAAATCTAAAATCATTATTGAAATTTTCTTTGCCAAAGAAGAACTAGTTAAGAGTTTTGGTAAATTACATGTTTTTTTAGCCCCTGAGCTTTAATATGGTACGATATAACTAAAAATAGCTTATTCCTATATTGAGGAATACTTCCTCCTGTTCCTTATTGAGGTGTGTTTTATTTAGCTAATGGGCTTTACTTTCTTCATTACAAAAAGTTTGAAAAAGTTTAAAGTTTTACCCTGTAAATCTTTTAGGCGTACCAGTACATTAAAGGTATTTGACTTACTTGTACCTTAGATGTTGCATATGTTGATTTTTAAAGCCTTGTAAACATTTAGTAAATATTTTAATGTTTTGTTCATTTTTGTTTGAAGTACTCCAGAACAGTAAACTGAGAACTTACGTACCTAGTAACATAGACATGCTGTGGCAAAAGGTTTGTACATTGGAAATGTGCTTTGGGCACTGTGTGCCCAAAGCACATTTCCAATGTACAAACCTTTTTTTACTATATCTTACTTTAAACTTTTAGGAACTACTTAGATTGGAAAAGTACTGTAGACCTAATGTTTTTGATAGTGTTTGTTTACATAAGCTTTACTCAAGCTAAAAATGCTTATAATTCCATAGTTAAAAGCACTATCTGAGAGATTTTATGTCAACGATTTCATAATACTCCCTTTTTCTAAGTAATAGGTAAACCCATATAGGTGTTGAAGTTGCACTCATACATGTGGTTTATTATTTTATTTTTTATTTGGTTTACTTTTAGTTTACATTTTATTTTGAGCTATCAGCAATGATAATGTAGTTCCTTGCTATAATTGGTGTTGGTGTTCTATCTATCAGTATATCCTGTAGCTTGTCCCTCCTATACAACTGTGAGTAGTATGATCCGCTGTACATAATGGCACACATTGGGATCCCCTGCACTTTACAGCAAGATTGTAATAAAGCTTGGCAGAATTTAGTTGGTAAAGGAGACGTTCGCCTCTTCTGCATCTGTGCTTCTACAAATAGTATAGGTAAGCAGTGTCGTTTTAATTTAATTATTTTTTATCTTACTAAGTTATTTTAATTAAATGTAAAAACTTGTTCGTTCCTATTTTTCTAATAAGGCCCATTCTACACGAGCATGAAAACCGTGACGGGATTCTTGCATGAATGCACCAAATTTGTTGCAAACTACATGTGGTGGGATCCCCGTTGCGTGGAGTCCGATTGAAACCCTCAGGGCCATACTACATGAGGCGGTTCAGACGCCGGAAGGACTTGGTGGAGCTCGCTTGTAGAGCTGACCATCCATTAAGCTATACGACTGCTATGGTTGGTATCCATCTCAAGCTATTCAAACTGCTTTGGAAGAAACTAAAGAAAAGATGTGATGGTGGACTCATCCAACTTTATCAAACAGCCTCATCAGAGGGACAAACTATGCCATGTTTAGTGACCATTGGAGGTACCTGGAAATGTTTTTTTTTAGTTTTACAGATTGTCGAGAAATTCGATGAAATTGCCAACTTCGTTCCAATTTTGTGCCTTTATTTTGCGATTAGAATACTCCTTGCTCTTCACATTATATAGGGCACGCCCAGCCTCCGTCTTGCAAAAAAACTAATCCGTGTCTAACATCACACCGCACCATAAAACTCAAAAGCAACTGGAACTGGAGAATAGATGTTGGGGTGTGAGCTTCCGCGCACGGTTACTGCTACGTGTGAAATGGCTGGCGGGATTGACGCCAACATGGACGTCAACTCCGCACTCCCGCTTACGGACGTGTCCAACCACGACGTTAATCCCGCTCGTGTAGGGACACCAATGGTATCTGTTGAGCGTGTAGCCCTGATGTGGGAATCCCGTCACGGGTTTCATGCTGGTGTAGAATGGGCCTAAGATAAAATATAATAAATTAAGATAAATAAAGCTCGTTTTTCATTAAAAATTCTGAAATGCATTGGTTAAAAGTGTAAAACTCCCCTTTTTATTATTTTACCATAGTTGTCATAATACAATTTTGTCTAAGCTGTTGCCTTCTCATAATAATTAAAACCTTTTTACTACTGAACATCCGTCACCTGAAAATAAAATAATTCTGATTTTTACTAAACTGAATGATGTAGCAATTCCTAGGTCATACAGGCTTCTAAACATCATTTATAGAGAAGAAGCCCTTTTTAACAACAATACGCTCGGCTATTCCTGACTGGTTTGGTTCCTCATTTCAGTAGGCAGTCTATTGAGCATATGTAAGGTGAATACCAGATTGGCCTTTATAGTTTAGTTGAGTCTGCAGCATGGAATGGTAATTTCACTCCTGTTTCCAAGGTTGTAGTTAGGTAAATTAAGAGTAGTGCTCTCTACAAGGAGTCAAGGGTATGAGAATGGACCTTGAGAATATAATAGATGTTTTACAACAAGAGGACACTATTGGCTGATCGAGCTTGATAGTTAATGTGATTGTGAAGGAAAGCAATTTCTACCTTGCAGGCCGGATATTTGACTATCACTTTTCCACAAAATCTTTCACTGGTATAAGATTTTCCAATATCCAATAAAATTTTCAGGTTTGTTTGCACTGAGATTGAAAACCCTCTTTTTATTGACTGTTAGTTTCAGTGCTGAGTAACTGCCATTGTATAGGCCATACTTTGACTTAGGTCTAATAAGCACTTTTATTGTTTGTATCAATAGCTCTTTATTTGTATTTGAATTTCTTTTACATGTATTTCCACCCATAGGATTAGAAATTAATTTGTTCAATACATTTAAAAATTATATCATCGTTTATCTTAGGTTTTTGATGTTATTATGCCAATTTTAGGGTTTTTTTGATTGAAATTTCAGTTGTTTAATCTTTGTAATTTGGTAATCTGATATGGATAGATGGGATTGTTCCATTACTCGTATTCTCAGTTTTATTTGATACTTTAAAATAATACGTATTATGTTCACGATATGACGAAAACTTTTCATTACAATATTGAGCCGATCAATCTTGTCAGTACACTTTTTGATATTGATGTACTGATGTTAAAATTCACTTCTTCCAATCAATTTATTTATTCTAGTCTCGTGTTATGTTTCCAAGTTTCTGTGTACACCACTATTTATGACGGTGTACATGTATTGTCCTAAGGTACGATTTCCCTAACCTCATTTTAGACTGTTGTGCTACCATTTCCCCCATCACATGGGTCATCTATGGTTTTTCTATTGTGGATAGCACTTCATAGTGGTTGGTAGGTGCCATGTTTTCAAAATAATTGCAGTAAGGTTTCTTCACTCAGCTAAGTATTGTTCATAAAAATGAATTCAATTATTGTTCCCTCATTTTTGTAAATATGTTCAATGGAAATCCAACAAACAAATCGATCATGTGAATGGCCTAAACACAGACAACCTTTTTGTTTGAACATTCTTTCTTACGAAGAGCAGCCTAAAAGAAAACAGATTTTGCTGTCTTTGTACTGTACATATATTTTCCCCTTTATTAAAAAGGGTTAAACTATTTAAAAGCCTCATTGATTATTTATTACTGTACATCCAATTAAAACTTTATCTTTCTTAGTATGATAAGTCATTCGAAAATCATTGCTGATAACATTATTCTTAGTTACTTTAATTTTCTTATTATTTATATTTTTAATTCTTTACTATTACTATAATTTTTGCACGTATAATATTTTAGTTATTTGGGAGTTTTTTCCAAATTAAAATTATATCTTAAGAACTATCTACTGTAATATTTTAAATTAAATATTCATGTGACCCATGAATTTATGTATACATATTATATAGATAAAAAACATCAGAGTGTGTATTTTCAGGCAAATATGAGTGAAAGACTAGTGGTGAATATTCAGATTTTACACTTTTGTTACTTACAAAGACAAGCAGGTTCTTCAGCCTAAATCATTTATGAAAAGCCTAAATTCATCTGGGTCTATTTTTAAACAATCAAAATGCTGATGATACATTCATTAAATGGAGGCCTATAATCAAGGTGTATAAAAGAAGAAGTGTGCATGCAATTTGTTGATTCAAGGAAATCCAATTTTCCTTAGTCCGCAGTTTATTGCACTAACCACTCATTTAGAGAAAATTTTCTAAACAGTAAGGCTCGAACGTAATGACCGACGTATATAATATTTTGAAAAGAGAAGTAGATTATGACGAGAAAATTTTTCCGAAACCTATTATTATGACCTGGACCAGAAATCGAACATGTAGAAGAGTAAAATAGCTTATATAACACTATATTCAATGCTAATAAGTAACTAATGTCATTGGGAAATTACA